CACATTTCGGGGCCTCAACTCTCCCTTCATCAGGGACTGCCACCGACTTCTGGGTGTCAGTCAAACAGGAAGACTGAGGACATCTTGTGGCCAATAAAAGGTAGTACAGGGGAGATCACACATAGTGCATGGAAAAGCTTGGGAGCTCATCATGAATGCAGGAGGGTGATAAGCAGGGCTTTTCTTCAGCGGGAACGCAGTGGGGATGCCCCTGGGGGCACCTCCAGCACTGAGAGTATGTAATGGCAAGGGGTGCTGGAGGACCTATTGCTGCTGACTGCTGGGGTATCTATTTTGTGTGCTGGCCTATTGTAGCTATGGAGGTCTATTGTTGCTGCTGGGGGATACATTGTCACTGAAGGGGGTGTACTTTTGTGTGCTGGTCTATAGTTGCTAGGGAGGTCTATTGTTGCTGCTGGGGGATCTATTGTCACTGAAGGGGATCTGTGTGCTGGTCTATTGTTGCTAGAGAGGTCTATTGTTGCTGGTGGGGGATCCATTGTCACTGAAGGGGATCTATCTTTGTGTGCTGGTCTATTGTTGCTAGGGAGGTCTATTGTTGCTGCTGGTGGGATATCCATTGTCACTGAAGGGGATCTATTTTTGTGTGCTGGCTATTGTAGCTAGGGAGGTCTATTGTTGCTGCTGGGGGATCCATTGTCACTGAAGGGGATCTTTTTTTGTGTGCTGGTCTATTGTTGCTAGGGAGGTCTATTGTTGCTGCTGGGGGATCCATTGTCACTGAAGGGGATCTATTTTTTGTGTGCTGGTCTATTGTTGCTAGGGAGGTCTATTGTTGCTGCTGGGGGATACATTGTCACTGAAGGGGATCTATTTTTGTGTGCTGGTCTATTGTTGCTAGGGAGGTCTATTGTTGCTTGTGGGAGATCTATTGTTGATGAGGGTCAATCGTTGTTGGAAAGAGATCTACTGTTGAGGGAGGGGAATATTGTATATTGTTATGGGGGGGGGAGTCTATTGATGCTGGCTGCAGGGAGATCTGTTGTAGCTGCAGGGGTCTTTTGTTGCTAGGCTGGTATTTTGTTTTGAGGGTCTATTGTTGCCGGAGGAGTCTATTATTGCTCGGGGGGTCTGTTGATGCTGGCTGCAGGGAGATCTGTTGTAGCTGCAGGGGGTCTATAATTGCTAGGCTGGTATTTTGTTTTGGAGGTCCAATGTTGTCGGAGGAGTCTATTATTGCTGGGGGGGGGGTCGTCTGTTGATGCTGGCTGCTGGGAGATCTGTTGTAGCTGCTGGGGGTCTATTGTTGCTAGGCTGGTGTTTTGTTTTGGGGGTCTATTGTTGCCGGAGGAGTCTATTATTGCTCAGGGGGGGGTCTGTTGATGCTGGCTGCTGGGAGATCTGTTGTAACTGCTGGGGGTCTATTGTTTCTAGGCTGGTATTTTGTTTTGGGGGTCCATTGTTGCCTGAAGAGTCTATTATTGCTGGGGGGCAGTTCTCTTGATGCTGGCTGCTGGGAGATCTGTTGTGGCCATTAAGTGATCACTTCCTGTTTTGTTTTTTTTAAATATCAGAAGGTAAAGCCAACGCATTTCAGTGACTCAACTCTCTCTTCATCAGGATCTATGTCTTTCCTTCCATCTTCTGGGCCTCACTTAAACAGGAAGGCTAAGGACATCTTGTGGCCATTAAATGATACTACAGGGGAAATCACATGTAGCAGGATTCGTGCTCGTTATGGATGCAGGAGGGTGATCGGTGTACCCTGAAGGAAAACACATTCTCCAGTAGAGTATGGAAGATTCAGAACCTCCATCAGGATTGTACTGCTGTCTCTGTCCCTTTGACAGGGAACTTCCTGTCCAGGTGACAAGGGTCAGAAAGAACAGGAAGTGAATTCTCCTCTACGGGGACACAGACAGCATTTAAAACCTATGAAATGGGTATTGGTGGACACAAAGGTGAATATAATCTGGTGTCATTTCCAGTCCTAACAGGCAGCTCTGTACCATACAGGAAATCCTTATGGGTGAGGACAGCAGTCCAAGGAAAGTGTAAAGGATGAGAAGCAGCCCTCTACCATACGGGGTATCCCTATAGGTCAGGGGAGCAGTTCAAAGAAAGTGTAAAGGATGAGAGGGTTACAAATGTATAAGTCCCGTATAGATTACTCTTGATTAAAAAAAATCAGATGGTAAATCCTACACATTTGGGGGCTCAGCTCAGCAGGAGCTATGTCTTTCCTTCCATCTTCTATCTTCCATTAATCAAACAGACTAGGGACATCTGGTGGCCAATAAAAGGTATTACAGGGGAAATCACATGTAGCGGCATAAATGTGGGACGGTGATAGGTGTAACCTGAAGGAAAATACATTCTCCAGTAGAATTTAGGAGGTTCAGAACCTCCATCAGGATTCTACTGCTGTCTCTGTTCCTTTGACAGGGAATTCCCCTCACTTCCTGTCCAGGTGATGGATGTCAGACAGGAATGTGAATTTTCCTCCTCTAGGACACAGACAACAAAAGCAACATAGAACAAACAAAAATGCCAACACATTTCAGGGGCTCAACTCTCCCTTCATCAGGAGCTATGTCTTTCCTTCCATCTTCTGAGTGTCAGTCAAACAGGTAGACTGAGGACATCTTATGGCCAATAACTGGTACTGCAGGGGAAATCACATGTAGCGGCATGTATGCTTATTATGGATGCAGGAGGGTGATCGGTGTCACTCTGAAGGAAAACACATTCTCTAGTAGCAGATGGAACGTTCAGAACCCCCATCAGGATTGTACTGCTGTCTGTGTCCCCTTGATAGGGATTTTCCCTCACTTTCTGTCCAGGTGTCAGACAGAACATGAAGTGAAGTCAACTCTACAGGGAAACAGACAGCATTTTAACCTATGAAATGGGCTGGTGGAGCGCTGGACCCACAGGCAAAATGGTGTCATTCCAATCTTAAGAGGCATCTCTCTAACATATGGGGCATCTTTATTAATCCCCAGAGAAGTCCAAAGAAAGTGTAAAAGATGAGAGCATCATCTGCGCACCTTTAGTACCATTCCTGAGATCCCTTCCAACTACTCATCTGTGGTACTAGTCCTTGGACTCCTCCAGCTGCCCACCTGTGGTACCAGCCCCGGACTCCTGAAGCTGCCCACCTGTGGTACCAGCCCCGGGACTCCTGAAGCTGCCCACCTGTGGTACCAGCCCCGGGACTCCTGAAGCTGCCCACCTGTGGTACCAGCCCCGGGACTCCTCCAGTTGCCAACCTGTAGTACCATCTCTGGGACTCCTCCAGCGGCCCACCTGTAGTACCACCCCTGGGACTCCTCCAGCGGCCCACCTGTAGTACCAGCCCCGGGACTCCTCCAGCGGCCCACCTGTAGTACCAGCCCCGGGACTCCTCCAGCGGCCCACCTGTAGTACCAGCCCCGGGACTCCTCCAGCGGCCCACCTGTGGTACCAGCCCCGGGACTCCTCCAGCGGCCCACCTGTGGTACCAGCCCCGGGACTCCTCCAGCGGCCCACCTGTGGTACCAGCCCCGGGACTCCTCCAGCTGCCCACCTGTGGTACCAGCACCGGGACTCCTCCAGCTGCCCACCTGTGGTACCAGCCCCGGGACTCCTCCAGCTGCCCACCTGTGGTACCAGCCCCGGGACTCCTCCAGCTGCCCACCTGTGGTACCAGCCCCGGGACTCCTCCAGCTGCCCACCTGTGGTACCAGCCCCGGGACTCCTCCAGCTGCCCACCTGTGGTACCAGCCCCGGGACTCCTCCAGCTGCCCACCTGTGGTACCACCCGGGACTTCTCCAGCTGCCCACCTGTGGTACCAGCCCCGGGACTCCTCCAGCTGCCCACCTGTGGTACCAGCCCCGGGACTCCTCCAGTGGCCCACTTGTAGTACCAGCCCTGGGACTCCTCGAGCGGCCTACCTGTAGTACCAGCCCTGGGACTCCTCCAGTTGCCCACCTGTGGTACCAGCCCTGGGACTCCTCCAGTTGCCCACCAGTGGTACCAGCCCTGGGACTCCTCCAGCTGCCCACCAGTGGTACCAGCCCTGGGACTCCTCCAGCTGCCCACCAGTGGTACCAGCCCTGGGACTCCTCCAGCTGCCCACCTGTGGTACCAGCCCCGGGACTCCTCCAGCTGCCCACCTGTGGTACCAGCCCTGGAACTCCTCCAGCTGCCCACCTGTGGTACCAGCCCTGGAACTCCTCCAGCTGCCCACCTGTGGTACCAGCTCTGAGACACCTCCAGCTGCCCACCTGTGGTACCAGTCCCAAGACTCCTGCAGCTGCCCACCTGTAGTACCAGCCCCGGGACTCCTGCAGCTGCCCACCTGTGGTACCAGCCCCGGGACTCCTCCAGCTGCCAACCTGTAGTACCATCTCTGGGACTCCTCCAGCTGCCCACCTGTGGTACCAGCCCTGGGACTCCTCCAGCTGCCCACCTGTGGTACCAGCCCTGGAACTCCTCCAGCTGCCCACCTGTGGTACCAGCCCTGGAACTCCTCCAGCTGCCCACCTGTGGTACCAGCCCTGGAACTCCTCCAGCTGCCCACCTGTGGTACCAGCTCTGAGACACCTCCAGCTGCCCACCTGTGGTACCAGTCCCAAGACACCTGCAGCTGCCCACCTGTAGTACCAGCCCCGGGACTCCTCCAGCTGCCCACCTGTGGTACCATCCCCAGGACTCCTCCAGCTGCCCACCTGCGATACCACTTCAGAGACACTTCTAGCCCTCCAGTGTAGATTTATTGCTCTTGATAAAAGATCATTAAGTAAGCCAACACATTTCAAGGGCTTAAAACTCTCCCTTCATCAGGAGCTAGCACAGTCTTTCCTTTCATCTTCTGGTTGTCAGCCAAACAGGAAGACTGAGGACATCTTTTGGACAATAATGGGTAGTGCAGGGGAAATCACAGGATTAAAGATATTACAGACAGAGCTGTATTTTTTTTACCTTTTCAGGGGAACATTAACTAAAAAAAAAGTTCATGACGTAGCTGGTTCTCTTTTAGAGGCCTGGCACTTACCGATCTGCCCGTACGCCATGCTGATTAGGCGCTGATTCACCAGTTTGTCCGTCCGGGGGTTCCTGGGCTGTCTTTTCATAATGTCACTTTCAGCAGCTTCATAGGCCAATGAGATGGCGGGCACCTAGTGTATAATAAAAAAAGAAGAAATCGAGTCATGTGACACGTCATCCCGCCATCACGACTACATAACCATTGCACAAGGTGGGGAACAGTGACACTGAGAGGGTGAAGAGGAGGCAAAAGACACCCACAAAACCTTGCCAGCTCTTCTTCCAATGAGTCGATCGTAAGCTACGCGCCATTAAAGACGATCTCCAGGGCACACAGGTAAATATAGAAATGAAATACATATACTGTATAATGGTGGGGACCTGATTTTTCTCTGCTACAGGTCTGGTCGCTCCCCCCAGCCCACGACTGGAAAGTGAAAAGAGAAGCAGCAAATGAATGAGCTCATCATCCAGTCACTCTGCTCTCTCCTCCTATCATCATGCTCCCTGACCCTGGCAACTTGTGCTACATAGAATTTCATACCATGTCTGTGCCCAGATCAATACATAGGATGGTGACGGTGCCCAGAGGCAGAGGGATGTTGGCGATGATAAAGAGTAAGAACGGCGTGATCTCCGGAATGTTACTGGTCAGCGTGTAGGCGATGGACTTCTTCAGGTTGTCAAAAATGAGCCGACCTGCGATATAAAAAGAGAATAAAATCAGCTGTGCCAACGAACTAATTGCACATTATAATAAATGCCATAGATTCATATCAGTCGGAGCGCCACAAGAGCTTACACTCTAATATCCCCCCCACAGTCACAAACCTTCTTCCACTCCTGTCACAATGGAGGCAAAGTTATCGTCCAATAGGATCATGTCCGCAGCTTGTTTAGAGACATCCGACCCCGCTATGCCCATGGCCACGCCGATATCAGCTTTCTTCAGAGCCGGAGAGTCATTGACACCATCGCCAGTCACAGCCACAATGGCGCCCTGTGGAGGAGACCACATTGAGAGTTTCAGCAGTGAGAGAGGCTGCCGCCATTGGTGTTCCCGGAGCTACAGAGACTGCCGCCATTGGTGTTCCCTGAGCTACAGAGACTGCCGCCATTGGTGTTCCATGAGCTACAGAGACTGCCGCCATTGGTGTTCCCTGAGCTACAGAGACTGCTGCCATTGGTGTTCCCTGTGCTCCAGAGACTGCCGCCATTGGTGTTCCCTGTGCTACAGAGACTGCCGCCATTGGTGTTCCCTGTGCTACAGAGACTGCCACCATTGGTATTCCCTGTGCTACAGAGACTGTCACCATTGGTGTTCCCTGTGCTACAGAGACTGCCGCCATTGGTGTTCCCTGTGCTACAGAGACTGCCGCCATTGTTGTTCCCTGTGCTACAGAGATTGCCGCCATTGGTGTTCCCTGTGCTACAGAGACTGCCGCCATTGGTATTCCCTGTGCTACAGAGACTGCCGCCATTGTTGTTCCCTGTGCTACAGAGACTGCCGCCATTGGTGTTTCCTGTGCTACAGAGACTGCCGCCATTGGTATTCCCTGTGCTACAGAGACTGTCGCCATTGGTATTCCCTGTGCTACAGGGACTGTCACCATTGGTATTCCCTGTGCTACAGGGACTGTCACCATTGGTATTCCCTGTGCTACAGAGACTGCCGCCATTGGTGTTCCCTGTGCTACAGAGACTGCCACCATTGGTGCTCCCTGTGCTACAGAGATTGCCACCATTGGTGTTCCCTGTGCTACAGAGACTGCCGCCATTGGTGCTCCCTGTGCTACAGAGACTGTCACCATTGGTATTCCCTGTGCTACAGAGACTGCCGCCATTGGTGTTCCCTGTGCTACAGAGACTGCCGCCATTGGTGCTCCCTGTGCTACAGAGACTGTCACCATTGGTATTCCCTGTGCTACAGGGACTGTCACCATTGGTATTCCCTGTGCTACAGAGACTGCCGCCATTGGTATTCCCTGTGCTACAGAGACTGTCACCATTGGTATTCCCTGTGCTACAGAGACTGTCACCATTGGTGTTCCCTGTGCTACAGAGACTGCCGCCATTGGTGTTCCCTGTGCTACAGAGACTGCCGCCATTGGTGTTCCCTGTGCTACAGAGACTGTCACCATTGGTGTTTCCTGTGCTACAGAGACTGCTGCCATTGGTGTTCCCTGTGCTACAGAGACTGCCGCCATTGTTGTTCCCTGTGCTACAGAGACTGCCACCATTGGTGTTTCCTGTGCTACAGAGACTGTCGCCATTGGTGTTCCCTGTGGTACAGAGACTGCCGCCATTGGTGTTCCCTGTACTACAGAGACTGCCACCATTGGTGCTCCCTATGCTACAGAGACTGCCGCCATTGGTGTTCCCTGTGCTACAGAGACTGCCGCCATTGGTGTTCCCTGTGCTACAGAGACTGCCGCCATTGGTGCTCCCTATGCTACAGAGACTGCCGCCATTGGTGCTCCCTATGCTACAGACTGCCGCCATTGGTGTTCCCTGTGCTACAGACTGCCGCCATTGTTGTTCCCTGTGCTACAGACTGCCGCCATTGGTGTTCCCTGTGCTACAGACTGCCGCCATTGGTGTTCCCTGTGCTACAGACTGCCGCCATTGGTGTTCCCTGTGCTACAGAGACTGCCGCCATTGGTGTTCCCTGTGCTACAGAGACTGCTGCCATTGGTGCTCCCTGTGCTACAGAGACTGCTGCCATTGGTGCTCCCTGTGCTACAGAGGTTACAGGTGTTCCCTGTGCTAGAAAATGCTAGTTGCCTGGCTTTCATGGTGATTTTCTGGCTTCACTGGGCCGGAAATCATTCATTCAGATTTGGCCACAAGCCAGTGTGGGTGTTCCAAGGCAGCTAAGTGTACCTGTCTCTGACAACCCTCCACGATGATCAGCTTCTGCTGCGGCGATGTGCGGGCGAAGACGATCTCCGTGTGGTTCTTCAGGAGGTCGTCCAGCTGTTCCGAGGTAAAGTCCTTCAGGTCCGACCCGTGCACCACGCACGCCTTCGCCTCTCTGCGACAAAACCAAAGTAACCAACTTTTACTTTTGTATCCTGAAATGAGTACCGAGGCAGGGGGCTTTAATGTTTTCAGGAAGCTATGTAAAGCCCCCTTCTGGCTCCTCCCACCAGCTGTGATCTGCCTGCATTGCAGAGAGAAGCACAGAGACCCAATGATGATGTCACTGGATCTAACATAAGGTATGTAATGACTGCGAAGGTTTTATTTAAAAAATGAATTAGTGCTGATTAAACTTTAGCTTTAGAGCCAATTTTTATTATAAGATTTAGATATTGAAGGGTTAGAGTGTGTCACATTTATTTTGCTGTCTGTATCAGGGGCGGACTGACAACTCATGGGGCCCCTGGGCAATAGGGGATCATGGGGCCCCTGTGTTCTTGCCCAAACTCAAAAAAGCCTATGAAAAAAGGTACCAGGGGCATCTCATGGGGCCCCCTACTGACCCCGGGCCCTCGGCAGTGCCCGAGTTTCCAAATGGTCATTCCGCCCCTGGTCTGTATCCACCTTGGGGAGATTTCCCTTCACTTCCGGTCCTAGAGACACCACAGGAACCGAGAGGAAATTTTTCCAAAAGTGAGATATATTATTTCTTAATCACCAGAACAGGTGTCCCCATTGGAAGATTTCCCATCTATTCCTGTTCCGGTGACAACTGTAAAATTTTGCATTTACCCCCCCCCCCATTACACAGGGACTAATAGAGAGGGTCACTCTCCCCAGACAGGGGCCAGCCTGCAGGAATACCCTCATGGGTAAAGCCAGTCGCTCAATCAATCAGTTGTTCCATTCCCCGCCATTCTGATTGCTTTTAAAATTGAGGCCTCCAGAAAAAAAAAATTTCTTCCAACTAATGACTTGCTTGACTGGAACTTCCAAAAAAAAAAAAAAAGAGAGATCGAAATAACGCCAAGACAATCTCTGATTGGACATTTTCCGACAGATCTGAAAGTTTAGGATGCTGTAATACTAGTGGAAAGGAATCCAATTGTGCTCCAAAAATGGAAGGAAGACTTTGTAATCCGAGTCTAGCATCACGTCCATGAAACTCCCGGGATATGGATCTGGTCAGGTAAGTAGCAGAGGGAGATGTTCATCAGTTTCAGCTGGTTTGGTGTTCATGAAATGAACAGGTGCGCTAGGTGGGCAACAATGAGACAACCCCCAAAACAGGAATGGTTTTACAGGTGGAGGCCACTGACATTTTTCCCTACTCATCTTTTCTGACTGTTTTTCACTATTTTTGCATTTGGCTCGGGTCAGTGTCACTACTGGTAGCATGAGGCCATACCTGGACCCTACAGAGGTTGCACAGGCAGTCCGACTCCTCCAGGATGGCACATCAATACGTACCATTGCCAGAAGGTTTGCTGTGTCTCCCAGCACAGTCTCAGGAGCATGGAGGAGATTCCAGGAGACAAGAGCATGGAGGAGATTCCAGGAGACAAGAGCATGGAGGAGATTCCAGGAGACGAGAGCATGGAGGAGATTCCAGGAGACAAGAGCATGGAGGAGATTCCAGGAGACAAGAGCATGGAGGAGATTCCAGGAGACAAGAGCATGGAGGAGATTCCAGGAGACAAGAGCATGGAGGAGATTCCAGGAGACAAGAGCATGGAGGAGATTCCAGGAGACAAGAGCATGGAGAGAGATTCCAGGAGACAGGCGGTTTCCTCTAGGAGGGCTGGACAGGGCCGTAGAAGGTCCTTAACCCATCAGCAGGACCGGTATCTGCTCCTTTGTGCAAGGAGGAACAGGAGGAGCCCTGCCAGAGCCCTACAAAATGACCTCCAGCAGGCCACTGGTGGGAATGTCTCTGACCAATCAGAAACAGACTTCATGAGGGTGGCCCGAGGCCCGACGTCCTCTAGTGGGCCCTGTGTTCACTGCCCGGCACCATAGAGCTGGATTGGCATTTGCCATTGAACCCCAGAATTGGCAGGTCCACCACTGGCACCCTGTGCTTTTCACAGATGAGAGCAGGTTCCCCCTGAGCACATGTGACAGACATGAGAGGGTCTGGAGAAGCCGTGGAGAACGTTCTGCTGCCTGTAACATGGTTCAGTATGACCGTTTTGGTGGTGGGTCAGTGATGGTCTGGGGGGGGGCATCTCCATGGAGGGACACACAGACCTCTACAGGCTAGACAATGGAACCCTGACTGCCATTAGGTATGGGGATGAAATCCTTGGACCCATTGGCAGACCCTACGCTGGTGCAGTGGGTCCTGGGTTCCTCCTGGTGCAGTGGGTCCTTGGTTCCTCCTGGTGCAGTGGGTCCAGGGTTCCTCCTGGTGCAGTGGGTCCAGGGTTCCTCCTGGTGCAGTGGGTCCTGGGTTCCTCCTGGTGCGGTGGGTCCTGGGTTCCTCCTGGTGCGGTGGGTCCTGGGTTCCTCCTGGTGTGGTGGGTCCTGGGTTCCTCATGGTGCAGTGGGTCCTGGGTTCCTCCTGGTGCAGTAGGTCCTGGTTTCCTCCTGGTGCGGTGGGTCCTGGGTCCCTCCTGGTGCATGACAATGCCCAGCCTCCTGTGGGGGGAGCATGCAGGCAGTTCCTGGAGGATGAAGGAAATGATACCATTGAATGGCCCCCAGTCTGTCCTGACCTAAATCCAATAGGACCCCTCTGGGATGTCATGTTTCGGTCCATCTGACACCGCCAGGTTGCACCTCAGACTGTCCAGGAGCTCAGTGATGCCCTGGTCCAGATCTGGGAGGAAACCCCCCAGGACACCATCCGTGGTCTCATTCATTAGGAGCCTCCCCCGATGTTGTCAGGCATCCATACAAGTACGCGGGGGCCACACAGACTACTGAGGGCCATTCTGAGTTGCTGCAATGACATTTCACCAACATGGACTCGCCTGCTGCATCATTTCTTCACTTTGATTTTCGGAGTGTCTTTGAATTCAGTCCTCTGTAGGTCCATCATTTTCATTTCCATCAAACGATGGGACATCCTTACATTCCTCACACATCACCCCCGTCCATGTCAGTATAGAGATCCAGCAGGAGATTCCTCCCCATTGAGATCCGATGGGTTTCCAAAGTCTTCCTTTCATTTTTTTTGAGTCGTGTATACAGTATATACAGTTGTGTTCAAAATAATAGCAGTGTATTTAAAAACTTGGCACAATTCTCAGCCTGTATTACCTAAAGGCTGCCATTGGGTGGCGACATTGTACTACTTGAGCAAACAGCAGCACACAATCATTTAATGAAATGCTGTTCTAATTAGTTTCTAGTGATCCCGCTGGCAGCATATCCGCCTTCATCGTCCAGAGGGCAAAGGTGAAGATGTTGAATGTGAGCGCTTAAGTATGTTCTCTACAGGTAGATATGAACTGCAGAAGTTTGCTCTTGTGGCCGTAGACTTCTCAGATAGCGCAGTTGGCTTCCTTACTGGACGACTGCACCAATTTAAATGGCAGGACCAGGGGCGGAGTGACCATTCGTGCACTGCCTGAGGGCCCGGGGTCAGTAAGGGCCCCAGAAGATGCCCCTGGTACCTTTCATATGCTTTTTTGGGTGTGGTTTGAGTGTGGGTGAGGACCAGGGGCGGACTGACCATTTGGAAACCCGGGCAGTGTCCGAGGGCCCGGGGTCAGTAGGGGGCCCCATGAGATGCTCCTGGTACCTTTTTCATAGGCTTTTTGAGTTTGGGCAAGGACACAGGGGCCCCATGATCCCCTATTGCCCGGGGGCCCCATGAGTTGTCAGTCCGCCCCTGGTGAGGACACAAGGGCCCCATGATCCCCTATTGCCCGGGGGCCCCATGAGTTGTCAGTCCGCCCCTGGTGAGGACACAAAGGCCCCATGATCCCCTATTGCCCGGGGGCCCCATGAGTTGTCAGTCCGCCCCTGGTGAGGACACAAGGGCCCCATGATCCCCTATTGCCCGGGGGCCCCATGAGTTGTCAGTCCGCCCCTGGTGAGGACACAAGGGCCCCATGATCCCCTATTGCCCGGGGGCCCCATGAGTTGTCAGTCCGCCCCTGGTGAGGACACAAGGGCCCCATGATCCCCTATTGCCCGGGGGCCCCATGAGTTGTCAGTCCGCCCCTGGGCAGGACACCTAGAGATTGCTTGAGTCGCCTTGTATCCAAATCTCTTCTATAGCACCGAATTGAGCGGAGCAGTAAAGTGCAATCACCGTACTACTCAGGAGGCACAGCCTGATCTCACAGTGGCTATCCCTGTGTCTGTAGGTACGATTACTCAAGGAAATCTAGAAATTCGATTTTATATCGATCGATAACACTCATTGGTCGATTAGTACCATATCAAAGGCTTAAATAAATGTCACAGCTTACCTGGGATTCACCTGATTTACTGGGATGTTAAGGCGAGCGGCGATGTCCTCCACAGTCTCGTTACCCTCGGAGATAATACCCACGCCTTTAGCGATGGCCTTGGCGGTGATCGGGTGGTCGCCGGTCACCATGATGACCTGGAAGGCAGAAGTGATTATTGCCGTGGTGTAACCTGGTAACATAGTACACCATTCCTCAGACATAAATGGGCAATCGGTAGATTTTTTTTTTTTTGGGGGGGTCATACAGCTGCAACTGTGAAAGAAATCCAATGAAGGAAAGGAGCGGGGGCTAAAGGGAGGAAAGAGCTAGATGATGTTGGACGTGAGACGGAGCTCTTTCTGACTGCCTGCTGGTTCTAATGCACACTGTGAGGAGCTCACAGTGTGCGGTGAAATCAGAGGAAGCCGTTTCAGGAGAGGAGCCGGTACAACCGTGCAAAACCGGAGGAAGGCTTTAAGCAAACGAGCTGCTTGCCAACCCAAGGAGCTAAATTTATCCTTCAAATGTTTTTCTTTCAGGATGCTCCGTCATCTATGATCGCCCCGCGGCTCTGCATCCTAAAATTCAAAGTATATTTATTAAGCAATGTAAATGACACCAGGCCTAATCTAGGTCAGGATTCATTTACACCCGACTAGGAAATCAGCAAAACCTCGGGGAATGTTCTCTGAAATCCGACAGAACTTGCAGTTCCACCTCCCAGATGTAACACAGCGATCGTTAGGAGGCTTGGAAGGCATTAGTAAGGAAGGTTGGGAGGTGTTCTTTATTAAATGGACTCATTTCATATGTGTGAGATTTGCTGAACAGAATCCAAAGTCCCTTCGGGGGTAACATGTTTCCTGTCTGTACATCACAGCTCCCGATTTATCTGTTTCCGCTAGAACTCGGTGCTATTGAAGTGAAGCCACGGCCAAGCTTTTGACATTTAATGATTTACATATTCTTTAAAAGCTTTAAAACAAGCCCTCACTAGCATTTGCAGCTGCAGGTACTGTGGAGAAATTCATCCCCACAATTCTCAGCAACTCATCTACCCCTGTTTATCCTCCCAGCAGCTCATCTCCCCCTGCCCCCACTCAGTGGCCCATCCTTCTCTGCTTCTCCTCCGAGCAGTAATTTAGCAGCTCATCTCCCCCTGCTCCCCATCCCAGCAGCTCATCTCCCCCTGCTCCCCATCCCAGCAGCTCATCTCCCCCTGCTCCCCATCCCAGCAGCTCATCTCCTCCTGCTCCCCATCCCAGCAGCTCATCCCCCCCTGCTCCCCATCCCAGCAGCTCATCTCCTCCTGCTCCCCATCCCAGCAGCTCATCTCCCCCTGCTCCCCATCCCAGCAGCTCATCTCCTCCTGCTCCCCATCCCAGCAGCTCATCCCCCCCTGCTCCCCATCCCAGCAGCTCATCTCCTCCTGCTCCCCATCCCAGCAGCTCATCTCCCCCTGCTCCCCATCCCAGCAGCTCATCTCCCCTGCTCCCCATCCCAGCAGCTCATCCCTCCTGCTCCCCATCCCAGCAGCTCATCCCTCCTGCTCCCCATCCCAGCAGCTCATCCCTCCTGCTCCCCATCCTCCCCATCAGTTCATCTCCCTCTGCTCCCCATCCCAGCAGCTCATCTCCCCCTGCTCCCCATCCCAGCAGCTCATCTCCCCCTGCTCCCCATCCCAGCAGTTCATCCCTCCTGCTCCCCATCCCGGCAGCTCATCCCTCCTGCTCCCCATCCCGGCAGCTCATCCCTCCTGCTCCCCCCGGCATCCCGGCAGCTCATCCCTCCTGCATCCCCATCCCGGCAGCTCATCCCTCCTGCTCTCCATCCCGGCAGCTCATCCCTCCTGCTCTCCATCCCGGCAGCTCATCCCTCCTGCTCTCCATCCCGGCAGCTCATCCCTCCTGCTCTCCATCCCAGCAGCTCATCCCTCCTGCTTCCCATCCCAGCAGCTCATCCCTCCTGCTCCCCATCCCAGCTCCTCATCTCCCTCTGCTCTCCTTGCCGGCAGCTCAGCTACCCCTCCCCCCTCTTATCAGTGACTCAGCAGCTCATCTCCCCCTGCTCCCCCTCCCAGCAGCTCATTTCCTCTGCTCCCCGTTCCAGCAGCTTGTCTCCCTCTGCTCCCCCTCCCAGCAGTGACTCAGTTGCTCATCCATCTCCCCCTGTTCTCCATCCCAGCAACTCATCTACCCCTGCTCTTCCTCTCAGCAGTTCAGCTTCCCTTCTCCCCCCCCCTCCCATCAGTGATTCAGCAGTTCATCTCCCCCTGCTCCTTCTTCCAGCAGATCATCCTCCGCTGCTACCCCCTCCCAGCGGTGACTAAGCAGTTCACCTACCCCTGCTTAACCTCCCAGCAGCTCAACTCCCTCTTCTCCCCATCCCAACAGTGACGCAGCAGCTCAGCTCTCCTTCTCCCCCTCCCAACAGTGACTCAGCAGCTCAGCTCTCCTTGCTCCCCCTCCCAGCAGTGACTCAGCAGCTCAGCTCTCCTTGCTCCCCCTCCCCTCCCAGCAGCCCTGCACCTTCTCCTTGAAGAAACTCGCCAGCTTCCCCCTGCTCCCCCAGCAGAGACTCAGTAGCTGAACTCCATCTGCATCCCCCATCCAGAAGTGACACGGCAGCGCAGTTCCTCCATTCTTCCCTCTTCCAGCAGTGACTCAGCTCCCCCCTCCCAGCAATGACTCAGCTCCCCCCTCCCAGCAGTGACTCAGCTCCCCCTCCCAGCAGTGACTCAGCTCCCCCTCCCAGCAGTGACCCAGCAGCTTCTATTCTGTAGAATGTGTAAACGTCTGCAGCCTGACCACAGATTCACTTTTCAGTCAATAGCGCCATCCCTGTTTATATTTTGATACATACCTTGATCCCAGCACTGCGACATTTCCCGACAGCATCTGGTACGGCGGCCCTGGGCGGGTCAATCATGGAAATCAGTCCTACGAAGCACAGGTTGGTGATGGGAAAGTTGACATCATCCGTGTCAAACTTGAAGCCACGCGGAAAATTCTCTGTGGACATATGAGAATGGCAGAACCCTGATGGAGAAAGAAGAGGCAGTAGATGTTACATAGGACCTGTAGAAGCGTAGAGTTGCTCCAGTCAGAGCTGACGTAGGGCTGGCCCCCTCTCTATGCCTCTATCAGGGTCGTCCTATTAGTATCACGGGCCCCCGGCAAAGTAATGCACCGGGGCCCCTGCCAGCCTGCCCCAATTTACACGCCTAATCTCAAGAATGAATAAATAGTTGATAGAATTAAACATATTAGTACTTTCGATAAAATTTAAAGAAAACATGTCATAAATCAAAGACCAATCAAAGGCCACAGTATTGGGAAAGGGGGGGGTGGCAGAAGGAAACAGTACAGGGGGAGTCTGGAGGGCACATTACTGGGATCAGGAGGACACAGTACAGGTTTTGGGACACTGCCCAGGCCATCCTGGGACAGCTGGGTAAAAAATGCGACTGTCCCTGCAAATCCGGGACAGCTGGCAGGTATGATGTAATGCAAAATTATCAGGGGGCCCCTGGGCAGTGCTCTGGGGTGCCCATACGTTAGGACAGCCCTGGCTTCTGTGTATGTATATATATATGTATATATTTATATATATATATATATATATATATATACAGTGGGGATCGAAAGTTTGGGCACCCCAGCTAAAAATGTGTATTAATGTGCATAAAGAAGCCAAGGAAAGATGGAGAAATCTCCAAAAGGCATCAAATTACAGATTAGACATTCTTATCATATGTCAACAAAAGTTAGATTTTATTTCCATCATTTACACTTTCAAAATAACAGAAAACAAAAAAATGGCGTCTGCAAACGTTTGGGCACCCTGCAGAATTTATAGCATGCACTGCCCCCTTTGCCAAGCTGAGACCTGCCAGTGTCATGGATTGTTCTCAATCATCGTCTGGGAAGACCAGGTGATGTCAATCTCAAAGGTTTTAAATGCCCAGACTCATCTGACCTTGCCCCAACAATCAGCACCATGGGTTCTTCTAAGCAGTTGTCTAGAAAACTGAAACTGAAAATAGTTGACGCTCACAAAGCTGGAGAAGGCTATAAGAAGATAGCAAAGCGTTTTCAGATGTCAATATCCTCTGTTCGGAATGTAATTAAGAAATGGCAGTCATCAGGAACAGTGGAAGTTAAAGCAAGATCTGGAAGACCAAGAAAAATATCAGACAGAACAGCTCGCAGGATTGTGAGAAAAACAATTCAAAACCCACGTTTGACTGCACGATCCCTCCAGAAAGATCTGGCAGACACTGGAGTTGTGGTCACTATTCCACTATAAAGAGATACTTGTACAAATATGGTCTTCATGGAAGAGTCATCAGAAGAAAACCTCTTCTACGTCCTCACCACAAAAATCATCGTTTGAACTTTGCAAATGAACATATAGATAAGCCTGATGCATTTTGGAAACAAGTTCTGTGGACCGATGAGGTTAAAATTGAACTTTTTTGGCCGGAATGAGCAAAGGTACGTTTGGAGAAGAAGGGGCACAGAATTGAATGAAAAGAACCTCTGTCCAAATGTTAAGCATGGGGTTGGATCCATCATGCTTTGGGGTCGTGTTGCAGCCAGTGGCACAGGGAACATCTCACGAGTAGAAGGAAAAATGGATTCAATAACATTTCAGCAAATGTTGGATGGTAACATGATGCCATCTGTGAAAAAGCTGAAGTTAAAGAGAGGATGGCTTCTACAAATGGATAATGATCCGAAACACACCTCGAAATCCACGGGGGATTACATCAAGAGGCGTAAACTGAAGGTTTTGCCATGGCCTTCCCAATCTCCTGACCTCAACATAATTGAAAATCTATGGATAGACCTTAAAAGAGCCGTGCGTGACAGACAGCCCAGAAATCTCAAAGAACTGGAAGACTTTTGTAGGGAAGAATGGGCAAAGATACCTCAAACAAGAATTGAAAGACTCTTGGCTGGCTACAAAAAGTGTTTACAAGCTGTGATACTTGCCAAAGGGGGCAGTACAAGATATTAACTCTGCAGGGTGCCGAAACTTTTGCAGACGCCATTTTTTTGTTTTCTGTTATTTTGAAAGTGTAAATGATGGAAATAAAATCTAACTCTTGTTGACATATTATAAGAATGTCTAATCTGTAATTTGATACCTTTTGGAGATTTTTCCATCTTTCCTTGGCTTCTTTATGCACATTAATACAAATTTTTAGCTGGGGTGCCCAAACTTTCCATCCCCACTGTATATACATAAATACACACACAGTACAGTATATATAAATATATATACATAGCCAGATTTTTTTCAGTCTTACATAACATACATCTGTTGTCTTGCAAGAGTGCACATCAGTGTTTCTTGTAGGAACATCTCTCAAACAAATGGCACTTAAACAATGTCTGCACACAGGGGTGGACTGCCCATTTGGAAACTCGGGCACAGCCCGAGGGCCCGGGGGCAGTAGGGGGGCCCATGAGATGCCCCTGGTACCTTTTTCATAGGCTTTTTTGAGTTTGGGCAAGGACACAGGGGCCCCATGATCCCCTCTTGCCCGGGGGGCCCCATGAGCTGTCAGTCCACCCCTGTGTGCACATGACTAGTTTTGCTGTCTTCTCATACATTGGGGACATAGATACTATTGGAATGGGAAAAGATACTAAATCTAACTACAAAAGAACCAAATCATTATGCTGCTTTCATTTGAATGCTTATTTCCTGAAGTCCTGTTCAAGCAGGAAATTGTGGACCAGCTATAACAGTGATTTGAAAATCATTAAGGCCCCATTGGCACCTGAGCGTTTTGTAGCTAGAAGCTCAAAGTTCCAAAATGCTTGAGGAGATAATCATGAATAAATTATATGAAATAATAAATAAGTAATAATTAACCTCTAACTTTAACACCCCCAATCCCATAAAAAAGTAATAAAATAATAATATTAATAAAAATAATAAGTAATATTATTTATATTATTATTATTATTATTATTATTATTATTAATAAATAATAATAATAATAATAATAATATTACCAATAATAGAAATAATACAAATATAAATAATAATAATACCAATAATAATAATAATAATTATTATTGTTATTATTATTATTATTATTATTAACAATTAAAATAATATTAATACTGTTAATAATAATTGTTATTATTATTTTATTATTATTAATAATAAGGATTAGGGGTTAATTGTTGTTTTATTAATTATTACATAGTATTTATTTTATGATTTTTTTTTTATGTGTATTTATATTCATTTATTTTATTCATTTTTTATTATTATTATTTATTATTATTATTATTATTATTATTAAATACCCTAACCCTACCAAACAAAATAATAATAATAAATAAATAAGAGGAAGATAAATTAAAATATTAACCCCAACCCAAACCCTAACCTAACCTTAACCTTTTACCCTAACAAAAAAAAAAATAATAAATAAATAAATAAATAAATAAGAAGAAGATAATAAAAATAAAATATTAACCACTAACCCCTAACCTAACCTTAACTCTAACCTTTTACCCTAACAAAAAAAACTAAATAATAATAAATAAATAATAAGAGAAATAAAAGCTGAAGGAAAAGCTAAAAAAATCAGAAAAACCTAGCAACAAATGATGCAACAGATGATCATTTTCTATATTGGCTAATGAAGAAAACACCAAAGCTCAAAAACGGCTACAAAATGCTGTATGAAAACGTGCAAAAACCACAGAAAAATATGCACAAAAAATCGTGCAGAAAAATGTGCAAAAACACTACGCTGAGATGTGAATGGAGCCTAAAACTTTCATAACTGAGGGGAAAAAAAGCAAGGCCACTGATTACATCCCCTCTACTGTTGGCAGCAAAGTGGTAGGCCCTCTATTGAGCCTCCAAGGCTGGTCAGTGTTCAGTCTCCTATGTATGGATCACAGGGTATGCTACAAACCCACCCAACACTCTCTCTCCCAGTCCTCCCAGCTCAAAGTAGGCATTTTGGAAGGCGTCCTTCATCTCTTCGTCCAGCGGGTGCTCCTGTCCATGCAGCAGGATACTAGAGCAGCGGTCCAAAATCCTTTCTGGCGCCCCCTTCATCACCAACAGGTGGCCTTCTGGGCTATCCTCCCGTTCGTGGATGGACAGCTGCAGAGGGAACAGAAAAGAATATTCTCCCTTGGTTAAAAAACATGACCTTGTAGAATATATTTTATAGCGATGGGCAGAAGGGCAGATTGATCATCCTAGAACAAGGAACTATGCAAATATTTATAACCTATGTCTTTGTTTTCTCCTGCCGATGGTCAGGCCGGCCATAAACTAGTTATCGGCTGTCTGTTGAGCAATGCAGAGATGGGAGTAGTTGTGCAGGAAGGCTGTGAGTCTGCTTACCTAGTTGTGATGCTGGTTGTCTAGCTATGGTGTGCTATGTAGAGTTGAGGCCTTCTTGGAGGAAGGCTGGGAGCCTGGTTACCTAGCTGTGATGCTGGTTGTCTAGCTATGGTGTGCTATGCAGAGTTGAGGCCTTGGAGAAAGGCAGGGATCTTGGTTACCTAGCTGTGGTGCTGATGTTTAGCTATGGTATGCTATGCAGAGTTGAGGCCTTCTTGGAGGAAGGCAAGGATCCTGGATACCTAGCTGTTTTGAGCAACGCAGAGATGGGAGTAGTTGTGCAGGAAGGCTGGGAGCCTGGTTACCTAGCTGTGATGCTGATTGTCTAGCTATGGGGTGCTATGCAAAGTTGAGGCCTTCTTGGAGGAAGGCAGGAATCCTGGTTACCTAGCTGTGGTGCTGTTGTCTAGCTATGATGTGCTATGCAGAGTTGAGGCCTTCTTGGAGGAAGACTGGGAGCCTGGTTACCTAGCTGTGGTGCTGTTGTCTAGCTATGGTATGCTATACAGAGTTGAGGCCTTCTTGGTGTAAGGTAGAGATGCTGGTTACCTAGCTGTGGTGAGAAATGCAGAGATGGGAGTAGTTGTGCAGGAAAGCTGTGAGCCTGGTTACCTAGCTGTGGTGCTGCTGTGGTGGGGTACTAGTTGTGCAGTGTTGTCTAGCTATGGTGTGCTATGCAGAGTTGAGGCCTTCTTGGAGGAAGGCTGTGAGCCCGGTTACCTAGCTGTGGTGCTGGTTGTCTAGCTATGGGGTGCTATGCAGAGTTGAGGACTTATTGGAGGAAGGCTGGAATCCTGGTTACCTAGCTGTGGTGAGCAATGCAGAGATGGGAGTAGTTGTGCAGGAAGGCTGTGAGCCTGGTTACCTAGCTGTGGGTGCTGGTTGTCTAGCTATGGTGTGCTATGCAGAGTTGAGGCCTTCTTGGAGGAAGGCTGTGAGCCTGGTTACCTAGCGGTGGTGCTGGTTGTCTAGCTATGGGGTGCTATGCAGAGTTGAGGACTTATTGGAGGAAGGCTGGAATCCTGGTTACCTAGCTGTGGTGAGCAATGCAGAGATGGGAGTAGTTGTGCAGGAAGGCTGTGAGCCTGGTTACCTAGCTGTGGTGTCAATGCAGAGATGGGAGGCCTAGTTGTTAGCAGGAAGGCAGAGATGGAGTAGTTGTACAGCCTGGTTACCTAGCTGTGGTGCTGGTTGTCTAGCTATAGTGTGCTATACAGAGTTGAGGCTTTCTTGGAGGAATGCAGGGATCCTGGTTACCTATCTGTGGTGAGCAATGCAGAGATGGGAGTAGTTGTGCAGGAAGGCTGTGAGTCTGGTTACCTAGTTGTGGTGCTGGTTGTCTAGCTATGGTGTGCTATGCAGAGTTGAGGCCTTCTTGGAGGAAGGCTGGGAGCCTTGTTACCTAGCTGTGTTGTGTTCTGTTCAGGGATGGGAGTCTTGGTTCAGGAAGACTGGAAGTCTAGTTACATAGCATGTAATGTTCTCTGCAGGGATGAAAGTCTTTCTGCAGGAAGGCTGGGAGCCTGGTTACCTAGCTATATAGTGTTCTCTGCAGGGATGAAAGTCTTTTTTGCAGGAAGCATTAAAACAAAGCATGTGCAATAGACTACAGACTGGCAGTGGTGGGGTCATTCATAGACTGTTCTCACCTGGTATTTGTTGGTGGAGTTGAATGGAATTTCAGCCACTTTGGGGTTCCTCTCTCTCATTTTCCTTACGGAGCCACAGGAGAGTTCTATACACTTGAGCAGAGCCGACTCTGAGGCATCCCCGGCTGTATCTCTCTGTGCGACAAGAAAATGACCAGGCGTCAAACGCGCCATTGTGTTTTCCTTTTCAATTAAAGTCCCAAGAAGAGGAACAGAAAGAATTTCAGGGGTATGGGATCACGGAATGTAGGTCCCCATTCACACCTTTGTGCCAATTAGACATTCACAGAGTAGAATAACCTGCAGCCAATCAGATTATTGCAAGGCTAGACCAAGCCTTAGGAATTGTAACATTCACAGGATAGACCACCGTGGTCAAGGTTGGCACATCCAAAGTTCTCTACAAAAAAAGTTCATGAGCTTACCTTTGAAATGGGTATCTTTTCTTGGCCCACTTTGAACACGGCACGGTTACAGAGGCCAGCGATTCTGGACAGGGCGGTCCACCGGTGGGTGATCGTTTATCGAATGTGGTCCCTTTGGGATAAAAACCAAAAGCGACACCTCAGTTACAGAGATATTTTGTAGGTCATATGCAAATAGCCAACCCAGTCAGTCAACCACTAGTAAGTCAACCACTGATAAGACATCTTTGGAGGTAACCAATGTCACGAGACCAGGGGCAGACTGACCATTTGGAAACTCGGGCACTGCCCGAGGGGTCCGGGGTCAGTAGGGGGCCCCATCAGATGCCCCTGGTACCTTTTTCATAGGCTTTTTTGAGTTTGGGCAAGGACACAGGGGACCCATGATCCCCTATTGCCCGGGGGCCCCATGAGTTGTCAGTCCACCCCTGCACGAGACCATGTATAACTAAGAATGTTTGACAACTTTGTAGAGGTGAGGCAGATTAAAGATCACCAGCAACTTCATAAGTAGGATATGGTCGAAGATAGAATGTTCTTTAATGGTCTTCTAGCCAGTTAAAGGTTGGAGTAGAAAGAGACAAATATTTAAAGCAGTCATGACAAACCTGACTGGTCCTCGGTGGTGTCCGCCTCGTGGATCTGATTGTCAAACCACATGTGGGCCACGGTCATCCGGTTCTGTGTCAACGTCCCGGTCTTATCGGAGCAGATGGTTGAGGTGGAGCCAAGGGTCTCCACAGCTTCTAAGTTCTTCACAAGGCAGTTCTTACGGGCCATCCTCTTGGCTGTTAGTGTTAAGCACACCTTGAAGGTTAAAAACAAAACACTGGGTCATGGACCATCCCAACCCTTGTGCAGAGTCCATCTCCAGAGCTCTGGTGATGAATCCTCACCGTGACGGTAGCCAGAAGACCCTCTGGCACGTTGGCCACTATGATACCAATGAGGAAGATGACAGCTTCCAACCAGGAGTAGCCGAGGATGAGGGAAAGGACAAAGAACGAGACCCCCAGGAAGACAGCCACGCCTGTGATGATGTGAATGAAGTGTTCAATTTCCATGGCAATGGGTGTGCGCCCTACTTCGAGCCCTGAAGCCAGTGTAGCAATGCGACCCATGACAGTGCGGTCACCGGTGGCTATGACGATACCTCGTGCAGTTCCTATATGTAAAGAAAACAAAAACTTGTTCAGCCTAGAATTACACTTTTGAAGTAAAGAAACAACACTACTAAAACCACTAAAGAAGTAGCAATCAGTCACTAGAGAGATGGAACAAATCAGTCCCTATGGGGTAGGCTACAAAGAAGCTTTGGGTATACCAGTGGTTAATCACATATGATCATACAGTGCTACAATTGGATGAGATTGATTGCTAATCATTTGCCACTTTGGTAGTTTACACCAGTGGGCTCCAGACTGCGGCCCACATGGGGCCCTTTGCTTGCCTTAATCTGGCCCTTGGAGTTATAGTATTATTCGTTCCATTGATCCAAGGCTCTTATGACTGACACCAGTGAAATTTCCCCAAAATCTCCCAATGACTTCTTGGGGAAATAAAGACTCTCAGTTTTTCTCATCCCTAGTCACACAATTGTGCAGGGAAAGTTCATCAGCTTCCTGAGTAAGCCCACACAATGGTTGCATGGAGATAGGTACACTTTAAGGGACGTTTGTATAATGAGTCCTTGGCTTCTCAGCAAGCTGTTTTGTTCCACTGCTGGGCTCACATTCCGGCCTTGTTCTCAGTCTCCGGACATCCATCATTCTTTTTCTTTTTCCTTTTTTTGGAGGCCCTCTGGCTGTGAACTGGGAAAAGTTTCAAAAGCGGCCATTGAGTTGCTCTGTGGGTTCAATAGAGGGACTGTCATGGTTGGAGAAGAGAGAATAGCACCCTGTGTGGGTCCTCCGTGACCTGCTGTGCACCCCGGAGGAGCTTCAATAGTCAATGCAGCTGCTGCACACAGGATAGAATAGCCGAGCTGAGACATAAAACCGCCAAAGCTAACAGTCTAACACAGCTTTTCCCAGTCTTTATAACTCAGAGGAACCCTTGAAATAACTTTCATGTTTCAAGGAACCCTGGATAGTAATGGCGATATCTACAGCTCATGGTACATCGACGTGAGCAGTGAGTTGAGATGCAGGAATAAAGAAAAACATAAGGAATGTGGAGTACTTTTATGATTTCACACCCAAGGCTGCTCCATATGATCAAATCATTTTTAGTAGCATTAATGAAATGAAACAAATAATAATAACGGGCAAAAAAAATGTAGATATTGCAAATTGTAGCGTTCCTTCATATTGATATAGCCAGTGAAGAATCGCCTTACACTGGTGGTCACTGGTGGAGTTTCCTTACATTAGTGGTCAATAAAGAGTTTCCTTACATTAGTGGCCAATGAAGAGCTTCCTTACATCCGAGGTCAATGAAGACCTTCCTTACATCTGAGGTCAATGAGGAGCTTCCTTACATCTGAGGCCAGTGAGGAGCTTACCTACTTTGGAGGTCAATGAAGAGCTTCCTTACATCTGGGGTCAATGAGGAGCTTCCTTACATTAGTGGTCAATGAAGAGCTTCCTTACATCTGAGGTCAATAAGGAGCTTCCTTACATTAAAGGTCACTGAAGAGCTTCCTTACATCTGAGGTCAATAAGGAGCTTCCTTACATTAAAGGTCACTGAAGAGCTTCCTTACATCTGAGGTCAATAAGGAGCTTCCTTACATTAAAGGTCACTGAAGAGCTTCCTTACATCTGAGGTCAATGAGGAGCTTCCCTACTTTGGAGGTCAATGAAGAGCTTCCTTACATCTGGGGTCAATGAGGAGCTTCCTTACATTAGTGGTCAATGAAGAGCTTCCTTACATCTGAGGCCAATAAGGAGCTTCCTTACATTAAAGGTCACTGAAGAGCTTCCTTACATCTGAGGTCAATAAGGAGCTTCCTTACATTAGAGGTCAATGAAGAGCTTCCTTACATCTGAGGTCAATGAGGAGCTTCCTTACATTAGAGGTCAATGAAGAGCTTCCTTACATCTGAGGTCAATGAGGAGCTTCCTTACATTAGAGGTCAGTGAGAAGCTTCCTTACATTAAAGGTCACTAAAGAGCTTCCTTACATCTGAGGTCAGTGAGGAGCTTCCTTATTTTGGAGGTCAATGAAGAGCTTCCTAACATTAGAGGTCACTGAGGAGCTTCCTTACATCTGAGGTCAGTAAAGAGCTTCCTTGCACTGGACGTCAATGAAGAGCTTCCTTACATTAGAAATCAAAGAAGAGCTCTATTGACTTGGAGTTCAGTGAAGAGGTCCCATACCTTGGTGGTCAGTGGACAAGGGTCCCCTTAGACTGATGGTCAATGGGAGGAGGACCACATACATTTGTGATTATTGGGAAAGGTCCCCCCTTAAAGTGGTAGTCAGTGGGAGAATAAAGAGCTCTTTTATTTGGTGGCCAGTGGAGAAGGCTACCTTTTAGATTGGGGGCCAGCAGGAGAAGGACCACCTTACATTGGTGTTTAATGGGTATTATTAACAGTAATAATAATGAAATGAAACAAATAATAACAGTGGCCAAAAAAGAAATGTAGAAAGTGAAAATTGTAGTGGCCCTCCATTATTGGAGGTCAATGAAGAGCTCCCTAACATTGGTGGTCAGTGAAGTGCTTCCTTACATTGGAGGTCAATGAAGGGCTCCCTAACATTAGTGGTCAGTGAAGAGCTTCCTTACATTGGAGGTCAATGAAGAGCTCCATTACCTTTGATGTCAATGAAGAGAGCCGTTATAATTGTGGTCGTTGGAGACAGGTCACTTTAGATTGGTGGTCAGCAGGAGAAGGACCATCTTAATGGTGATTTTTGGGAAAGAGGCCCCCTTATACTGGTGGTCAGTATGAGAAGTATCCTGTTGCACTGGTGGCTACATTAGTAGTAGTCCCTGAAGAGCTCTCTTACACTGGGGGTCATTAAAGAGCTCTCTTACATTAGTGGTCAATGATCAGGTCACTTACATTGGTGGTAGGTCCCTTACATTGGTGGTTATTGAAGAGTTCCCTTACACTAATGGTCAGTAAGGAAATTCCTTACTTTGGTGGTCATTACAACGTTCTCTACATTGGAGGTCACTGTAGAGCTCCTTTACCTTGGTGGTCAGTACAGAAGGGCCCCTTTAGATTGGTGGTCAGCAAGGGAAGGTCTACCTTACCTTGGTGATGATTGGGAAAGGGGGCCTCTTACACTGGTGGGTGGTCATTGGGAAGCATTCTCCTTACATTGGTGGTCAGTGGCAAGAATGCTCCTTACCATGGTGGTCAATAGGAAGCGTACTCCTTACATTGGTGGTCAATGTGAAGCATACACCTTACATTGGTGGTCAATTGGAAGAATGCCCCTTACACTGATGGCTAGTGGGAAGAATGCTCCTTACATTGGTGGTCATTGGTGCCACTTTACAAATTGATAAAAAGATCATTGGTATCAGTAGTTACCCTAGCAACCTCTGAAGGAACCCTCGGGCTCCATGGAACCCTTGTGAGAACGGCTGGTCTACTATATAGGCAGTCACCCAAGGTTCCTCACATCTTCTGATAGAATCTCAATCTAGGCCTCCCATCAACCCCAACCTCACCTTCCACACAGTTGGTTGAGAAGAAGGAGATGTTCCTGGTCTCCAGAGGATTTTCATGGGTGAATTCCGGTGATCGGGTCTGTGGTTCAGACTCTCCAGTCAGCGAAGAATTATCCACCTGGTGTAAAGAGCCTGGATTAGCAACCTCAAGGTAACCACACATGCTCGGAGGACAGTCCACACAAAAGTAATGTCTCTATTATGGGTAGAGTGTTTTGGGATAAGTTGACCACTGCCTTCTTACTCTTTCAGGGTTTTGAGCTCTCCCAGCCATATTTCCCGGCACTGTGCCCGCCCATATTTCCCCACACTGTGCCCACCCATCTTGGGGTGTTCCTGCCCACCTTGAAGTGCTCTCACTCTTCATGATGGGAGGAGCTCACAACGGCAATCTACTAGAACTTGAAATTAATAGTTTTGGGTGTACTGACCCTTCCTAGAGATTGTACAGGCAAAATTTGAAGAATCTGAGTCCATAGCCAAAGCCCAATATGTGGTCAGTGCATTTTGTTTTACTTAGAGGTGTCTACAGAATCCCCAGCTATGTTCTGTCAATCACCAGGGCTATTTCTTGCCTGCCTCCAGCACAGATGTAAGACATCAGAGACATCATGACACCAGAGAAGAAGGAGGGTCATCATATTCAATTACAGGTAATATAGAGAAGTAGGTGACACAGAGGTTAGAAAGAAAGGTTGCCCTCAGGTTACATGCTGCCTGTTCATTCTGAGTCTGTTACCCCTGCAGTACAGATCAGTATAATATGGGAAGACAAATCTAGAAGAGCCGTCGTGCATACAACAGCTGAGGTTTAAATGTCGGCACGTGAGCATGGCCTTTAGTAAAGCTTCATAAAAAGTGGAGATGGTATTTTTACGACGATGATGAGGTCATCCCACACACCTATCACACATACAAGCAGCGGCCCGGGTCTCACCTTGCAGCCATGAGAGGAGATGATTCTGATGTCTGCCGGAACTCGGTCCCCGCCTTTGATCTCCACCAAGTCACCGACCACCACAGCTTCAGCGTTAATCTGCAGCTTCTCCCCCTCGCGGATCACCAGAGCTTGCTGGAATAGCGGGACAAAATTGATACGTGTGACCAGGGCCGGACTGACAAGTCATGGGGCCCCCTGGGCAATAGGGGATCATGGGGCCCCTGTGTCCTCACCCACACTCAAATCACACCCAAAAAAGCCTATGAAAGGTACCAGGGGCATCTCACGGGACCCCCTACTGACCCCGGGCCCTTGGGCAGTGCATGAGTGCCCAAATGGTCAGTTTGCCCCACCAACACAACCAAACTGACCAAACTATCTATCTATCCACAATATTGCACCGCCTCTCCCTACCTGGGGCACCATATTCTTGAAGGAGTCCATGATCTTGGAGCTCTTGGCTTCTTGGTAATACGAAAAGCATCCGGTAACGATGACAACAGCAGCCAAGACCACGCCGAGGTACAGCTGTGGAAACAGTACAAAAGATTTGAACCCTGAACCGCACATAATTGAATGATCAATCTTCAGACAACAATTAAGGCATCTTAAAGTGCAACTACGGCATGCTAAAGTGGCGTTTTAGTAATTTTGACATTTTTGTATGCCTTAAGCACTGCTGAGAACCCTTTTAGGTGCTATCGAAGCTTTGTGAATCATCGCTTCAATTATGGTACAACGCGCCAGTAGTAGAACAACCTGCCTAAAAGTAGAGCCAACCACAGCCTGAGCTTTCCTCTATTTCCTTCAAAAGCTTCTTAGAAGGACCTTATGGAATGAGTAAAGAAAGAACTAAGGATGGTGCCACGGAAAATGTAGTTTACTTGGCTGTCATACTTATCCAATGCCCTCACTGATTTCTGAATCACCAAACTGGAGCAAGGACAAGGAGCGACTTCCCTGTGACTTTCTCATTTCCATGCTTGTTACAGGTCAGCATCTCAGAAAGAGTGCAGAGGCAGCCAGGCAAGAAGCATTCTTGAAGAAGACAGGAATGGCAAGCTTGCAGAAAAGGTTCCCCTGAACTGGAAACCCACTGATCACAGGCAAGCAAATCTGGAAGGTTTGAACCTTTTCCTTTCTCCTGTTGTCCCCCAGGTAGCTGTGCTGGGACCTTCTATCTATCTATCTATCTATCTATCTATCTATCTATCTATCTATCTATTATTATCTATCTATCTATCTATCTATCTATCTATCTATCTATTATCTATCTATCTATTATCTATCTATCTATCTATCTATCTATCTATCTATCTATCTATCTATCTATCTATCTATCTATCTATCTATCTATTATCTATCTATCTATCTATTATCTATCTATTATCTATCTATCTATCTATCTATCTATCTATCTATCTATCTATCTATCTATCTATCTATCTATCTATCTATCTATCTATCTATCTATCTATCTATCTATCTATCTATTATCTATCTATCTATCTATTATCTATTATCTATCTATCTATCTATCTATTATCTATCTATCTATCTATCTATCTATCTATCTATCTATCTATTATCTATCTATCTATCTATCTATCTATCTATCTATCTATCTATCTATTATCTATCTATCTATCTATCTATTATCTATCTATCTATCTATTATCTATCTATCTATCTATCTATCTATCTATATATCTATCTATCTATTATCTATCTATCTATTATCTATCTATTATCTATCTATCTATCTATCTATCTATCTATCTATCTATCTATCTATCTATCTATCTATCTATCTATCTATCTATCTATCTATTATCTATCTATCTATCTATCTATCTATCTATCTATCTATCTATCTATCTATCTATTATCTATCTATCTATCTATCTATCTATTATCTATCTATTATCTATCTATTATCTATCTATCTATATCTATCTATCTATCTATCTATCTATCTATTATCTATCTATCTATCTATCTATCTATCTATCTATTTATCTATCTATCTATCTATCTATCTATCTATCTATCTATTTATCTATCTATTATCTATCTATCTATCTATCTATCTATCTATCTATTATCTATCTATCTATCTATTTATCTATCTATTATCTATCTATCTATCTATCTATCTATCTATCTATCTATCTATCTATTATCTATCTATCTATTATCTATTATCTATCTATCTATTATCTATCTATCTATCTATCTATCTATCTATCTATCTATCTATCTATCTATCTATCTATCTATTATCTATCTATCTATCTATCTATCTATCTATCTATTATCTATCTATTATCTATCTATCTATCCATCTATCTATCTATACTCTATCTATCTATCTATCTATCTATCTATCTATCTATCTATCTATCTATCTGTCTATCTATTTCTCATCTATCTCTGGCAGGTTTCCCTGAACTGGTAACCCACTTAACACATGCAAGCAAATTTGGAAGGTTTCCCCTTTTCCCTTCTCCTGCTGTCCCCAGGGAGCTGTGCCAGGATCCTCAGCTGCTTTTCCAGTACAAATGCTCTATTTGATGTGTAGAAGAAAGATTAGTGGCATCCTTTGGAATCTTCACGGTACCCCCCCCCCCCTGCCAACTTCTGTGGGGGGAGGGGGGGTGGAGCCAGATAAAACCACATCTAAGGATGCCGAGTGGAGTGACTGACACAACTGATCTTGCCTAGCACTCTGAATGGATTGGGGAAGGTGGAAGGGTCTCTTTAATCTCACCTTCCTCATTGACTCCAATGCATTTCTGTTCCCCTGTCCCAATACAGCTGTTTCTACAGAAGTCAGGAATACACCTCTGGATGTTCCATGTTATAACAGGATTAGTTATGAGCATTGCCATAATGCATAGAGACCAATGGTTTCAGATTTTCCGGGTCAGTCCCTCATCTTGGACCTCAGTCTCCATAATGATGTGTCCAGGGCTGTGTCCTGGAATCACAATCTCACCCTTATTTCAATTACTCAATAGGGCATTCATTACGGTGATTGGGGGACACAAGTGGGCAACCCCTGCGTAATGGGGTGAAATTTGGGTGGGCTAATCTGGCAAGCGGGCGGGGACACCCAGTCCCTGGGCAGACTGTGGGCGGGGTTAACTGTTCGTATAATTCTTCATACATCATACTAACATTGTCGTTGATTGGCTCGTCCTCCATGGCGATCTGAATCCCGTAGGCCAGGAAGCAGAGGATGGCGCCAATCCACAGCAAGATGGAAAAGCCGCCAAAGAGCTGGCGGCAAAACTTCACCCACTCGGGGGTGGTGGGTGGAGGGGTGAGGGCGTTGGGTCCTTCCTGGGCCAGGATCTCGCTGGCGCGGGCGTTTGTCAGACCCTGCAATACAAAAAAAAAAAAACGGGGATTGGACTTAAATGCAGAACAATATGGCTGACACAACCCAACATTTTTGAAGAGGGTCGGTTGTAATTTTAATTGGGGGGGCTTACCTTAGCCAGATCCGTGCCGTATTTTTTCGCCAGGTCATCCTGGGAGAGCTTGTGGTCATCCTGGTGATGGAAAAAAGAATTGAATAATCTCCAATGGCGGGTTTCATAAACTGTTACGTTGGCGGTAAAGTACATATTACAATCTCTGTGCAGTCTCCTTTCAATTGGCCATACACAGTATAATCTGATTCAGGGGCGGACTGACAACTCATGGGGCCCCCGGGCAATAGGGGATCATAGGGCCCCTGTGTCCTTGCCCAAACTCAAAAAAGCCTATGATAAAGGTACCAGGGGCATCTCATGGTGCCCCCTACTGACCCCGGGCCCTCGGGCAGTGCCCGAGTTTCCAAATGGGGATTCAGGGGCGGACTGACAACTCATGGGCCCCCGGACAATAGGGGATCATGGGGCCCCTCTGTCCTTGCCCACACTCAAAGCACACCCAAAACAGCCTATAAAAGGTACCAGGGGCATTTCATGGGGCCCCCTACTGACCCCGGGCCCTTGGGCAGTGCCCGAGTGCTGCAACGGTCAGTCCGCCCCTGGTACAATGAGATTGTAACATGTGTGGCCAGCTTGGCCAGGTTCTGTTCTTCGCTCCTCGTTTACCAGCCTGCTCAACAAAAGGAGAGGCTAATTCGTTTTATTTCAGCATTTGTTTTTTTAATTTTGTAAAATCAGACCGTTCGCTCACCATCGTCACTTCCTTCTTCAGCTCATCCATCTCCCTCTCCTTCATCTTCTTCTTCCCCCCGCCGTTGTCGGCGTTGGTCGCCGCCGGCGAGTACTCTCGACCCTCCTGCAAAATGGGAGAAATTATTGTTAATGTGGAGGAAAGTGCTCTTAAAGGCGGAGTCCACTTTTTACCCCTCCAAAAAAAAAAAAAAAAAAAAAAGCTTGGATGCTTCTTTTAATTTAATTTGTATGGTTTTCTTTCCTTCTGATATCATGGTGATAACGCATCCCGTTCCCTGAGTCTGCATAACAGCCTCACAAAGTAGGTCCCTCTACTGCTACAGGAATGTGAACCCCCCCACGGGGCTCTGTGAGTAGCACAGTTATGGCGATTATGGAATCGGAAGGTAGTTGGGGGGGGCGACAGCTGTCAGAACTCAAAAGGCCTCATACTTCTGACTCCCAGCTCCAGAGTCACCATCAGTCAATCTACCTACTAAAGATAGGCTCCATGAGCCCTCCTGTTAGTTCTGTGATGAACTGTATTGTAATTGTACTGTCCCCCATATATTGTAAAGCGCGCTCCTCTGCGCAAACTGTTGGCGCCATATAAATCCTGTATAATAATAATAACAAGGGTGGGGAGGGTGGGGGATGGTAGAAGAATTTAGAAATTTAGCTTTAGGATTCGTTTTACATAAACCCAATTGTGACCGGAGCCCAAAGCAGCAATCAGCATAGAACAAAGTGCTGGACAGCCGGATGGTGAAAATGTCAGATATCTCACTCACTGCACAGATCTTCCTCCAATATATCGGATGTCGGAAGATCTTTTCCATAAAGTATTTCACTGTAGATGCCCCGACAAGATAATTCTAAAAGATAGATTAGATAATAGAAAATTAGATAGAATAGATAGATAGATAATAGATAGATAATAGATAGATAATAGAAAGATAATAGATAGTAAATAATAGATTAAAGATAGATAATAGATAGATGATAGATGATTGAATTTGATAGAAAATAGATAAATAGATAAATAAGATAGATAGATTAATAGATTTAAATATAGATAATAATTAGTTAGATAGATTAGAAAGATAGATAAAAATATGATAGATAGATAGAAAAGATAGATAGATAAGATAATAGATAGATAAATAATAGATAGATAATAAAAAAAATAGATTAAATAATAATAGTAAATAATAGAAAATAAATAATAATAATATATAAAATAATAAATAAAAAATATGTTAATAAAAATAATAAAAATAAAAAATAAAAATAATAAATAGATAAAAAAATAAATAAGAAAAAAAAAATAAAAATAAAAAATAATAGTTAATTAAATAGAAAAATAAAAAATAATAATAAAAAGATAAAAAATAATAGATAGATAAAATAATAGAAAATAATAAATAGAAATAGATTAAATAGAAAAAAAAGATAATAAATAAAAAAAATAATAAATAAAATAAATAAAATTAAAATATAAAAAGTAAATAAAAAATTTTGATAAAAAAATAAAATAAAAAAAAATAATAAAAAATAGAAAAAAAAATATAAAAAAATTAGATAATAAATAAAATTAAAAAAATAAAAAAAAGAATTATAAAAAATATAAATAATAAAAAGAAATAAAAGAAAAAATAAATAATAATTAATTAATAATTTATAGTAATAAAATAAAAATATTTAAAATAAGAAAATAATAATAGAAATAGATAAAATTGATAATAAATAAAAAAAAAGATAAAAATAAATATAAATAATAAAAAAAAATTAATAAATTAAAATAAAATTAATAAAAAATAAAAAAAATATTAAATATAAAAAAAAATGATAGAAAATTTAATATTAAAAATTAAAAAAAAATTAAAAATAATGTTAAATAAAATAAGTTTTAATAAAAAAAAAAAAAAAAAAAATTAAAAAAAAAAAAAATTTTTTAATAAATAAAAAAATAAATTAATAAAAAAAAAATAAAAAAAAAAAAGTAAAAAAAAAAAAAAAAAAATAATAATTAATATTATTAAAAATTATAAGTTTAAAATAAATTTAAAAATTTAAATAATAGTAATAATAAAAAAAAAAAAAAAATAAATTAAAAAAAATAATAATTTTAAAATATAAAAAATATAAATAATATGTTTAAAAAAATATATTTTAAATTTTATAAAAATAATTAAAATTTAAAAATAAATAAAAAAAAAAAAAATTATAAAAAAAAATTGAATAATGATAAATTTTTATATTGTAAAAAAAATAAAATATAAATATATAAAATAATAAATAAAAAATTATATAAAAAAAAAAAAAAATTAATAAATAAATATTTAATGGGTTATAAAAAAAATTAATATTAATAAAAAAAAAATTTTATTTTTGATAATTTAATAATAATAAAAAAAATTAAAAAATTTGAAAAAAAAAAAAAAATTATATTATTTTAAAATAAAATTTTTATTAAAATAAAATAATTATAAAAAAATATAATTTATAAAAATTTAAAATTTAATTTGAATTAATAAATAAAAAATAAAAAAATGGGTTGTTTAAAAATTAAGACATTTGTAGGTAAATAAATAAAAAAAAATAAAATTAAAAATTAAAAAAATA